AAAAAAAAAAAAAAAAAAGATATATAAAAACTGTATTTTATATAGTTAGATTGTAAAACTAAATACTACAGTTTCAGTTCAGTGGTTCTTTCATCATGAAAAAAAAATCTTGCACATCATATTCTATACTGAACTTTATCTGCCCTAACCAATAAGCTATATTACACATACAAAATTCTGAAAAAGCATCCAAACCAGATTTACAATCTACATAAGTATTGTTTACATTATTATTGTCTATCATAACATAGGACAAATAACGTATAGTTAGTGCTACAACAGATATTTGTATATAATGGATGCAATAAGAATATTTCAGTTTCTCCTTTTTCAGTACATTAAGTATTACATGTACAACTACAAAACCGTAAATATTTTTCTTGTAAAATATAGTACTCATGCACTACCTAAATGTTTTACACTATTTAATTTACTGTATTTTCATTCTACTATTGAGTAATTTTCTGTACACTTGAATATTCAGTTGAACAAATTACACATTTTAAATGTATCAAGATTCTTTCTGGAAACAGCACATCAATAGAAATTCAGAGCTATTTTTTCAATATGTACAGTAACTTACAAATATGTTGCTTTTCAAAACTTCTTTACATACAAAAGTTTCAAACGTGTCATGCACGCTTTGCTTTCTAAAACCTTAGTAGCAACAAGATATGGCTTAATGTGTGTATGTACATGAAGAGTTCAGAAAGTTTATCACTACTGAAAACTATACCAATGTATATAAATTAAGCAAGTGCATGTATAATGTTGTGTTAGTAAGACCAAACTTCAAAATCTGTTGAACTTACCGCACTATTTTTCCAGGTGTTATATCGGTAAATCCCACTTCCTTTAGAATCTGATGTCGTTGTTCCACAAATCCATGATTTACACTTAAAATTTTTGGGTGATTTAAGATGTCTTGAATTGTAAATATATTTTTAACAACCATTGCTGTTTTTGAAATTTGTTTCGGTGTCATGGTTAGAAGTGATTCATTAACCTTCAAAAGAGTAGCTGCAGTGCTATGAGCACAGCCAAGCTGTTCTGCCAAATACTGTGATTTAATTAGAGCTACATATTCAAGTTTCGAAATGTTGGGGTACTTTGAGCAAAATGATCTTATGGAAGAAATATTTACATTAACATGCACTTCACTTTTTAGCACTGCAAGAAAATGAAATGGTTCCCTAGCCTGGGAGTACCACAGACGACATCTCAACAGAGAAGTTGTCAGTAAATTAATGTTACATTTGCTTAGCAATAAATACATTTTATCAACTGGAAATTACACAGTAGTGCATATATATGTATTTTATTTTGTAATTAATACCAGTACAACACCATGGCAGTGTAGAGAAGATCTGTGGAAGAAAAAACAATATGCAAGATCATGCATGTATTGTATACACTATAGTTTCGGCACAAAGATTAATTAATATTAAAACTGAGAAAGAAAATGCTGAAAAGCAAACATTTTTTTAAAAAAACAGAGAATAGTTTTTGAAAATCAGCAAAAAACAAAACACTCTATGAGAAGAAAAAGAAACTATATTCTATTAATAGTGAAAGTAATTTTGCTTTTTCTTAAACTTCTTTTACACAATACCAGTATGATTAATAACTCTACACTTTTATAAGGTTTAATGTTGGTACATGTGACAATAAAAATTTTAGTACTAAGAATTTCCATATATGTTACTTGCTTAGACTATGGATAACTTGTTCAGAAAACAATGGGTAATTCTATGTTAGATATACAGTTACATGCACATGAGTGCTCCTATTTCTAGCCAAAAGTTTTAGATAAATGCAGTAATCACTAGCTTGTAGTAGTTATAACACGGTGAATTGTCAGAACATGACTATAAACAAGCATCAACCGAGTATTTTCAGTTTGTCTGAAGTGTCACTTTATTGTTAGATTTTTTGTTATTATTATAAGGGATTGAAGATGTGACATAACTTTGAAAAATATTCTGGCTAATTCTAGGAGATATAACTGAAAGTTTATTATGTTAAATTTACAGAATAATAAATAAGTTTCTTCATTTTTTGAAAAAAGCCACATTGGGATATCTGCTGTGCCCATTGCAGGGAATCAAACCTCAGATATTCCATTGTAAGTTCGTAAGTTTACAGCTGTCTCACCAGCAGACATATAGTTAATGAGAAAAATTTAATGAATATTATATATATTGTTGCGTCAGCGAGTCACATGACTACAGTGACGCAACGTTTCTAGAACTATCATGTACTCTGGCGAATGCTCTAGTATTTTCTAGACAGGGTAGGCTGGTATATATAAGAGGGGGAAAACGTGACGCAGGAAGGCATGGTAAGGTGTGTATAGACAGTGTGTAATTGATCTGCGGTCAGAAGTATTATTGACGTTCGTTGATATAGCGTTTGTTTTAGCACGATTGTTGAAGTTGAGTGTATCGGTAAAGTTATATTCGGAAAGAATAAACCAGTTTTATTAAGTAAAGACTTGTTTCACTTAAGTTTCGTCGGAACGAAGTTACGGAAAATTAATTAACACATGGAGACGTAACAATATGTTATGAAAGAGCTAACTGGTGACAAATGACATTAAGCCTACTTAGGTCATTCTTCCAACCATTAAAGTAGGGCATGGACAAACAGTAATTTTGGTAGAAAATACTCCACACGCATGAACTACCACTTCATTATAATATAACTAGTATTAAACTAGTTACTCTGTCAATGTTTTTGAAAACTGAATAAAGATAAGATGTACAGTTCTTCATGACTGAGCAACCATTGCAGGCCCTTCAGGCAAATGCAGTATGAGACAGAATTTCTGTTTTTGTCACTACCATGAACACCTGTGGCATAAAGTGGCATCAGAACAGGTGGCTACTGTATTTTTTGGAATATAAGACACACCGATGTATAAGACAAAGTTTTGGGGAAAAAAAAAGTTACAGTCGCATTTGAAAGATTTTTATTGAACAGAAATTCAATTTGATACTTTAAAAATTAGTATATATTGTTCTAAACATAAAAGAGCTCAAAAAATCAAAATAACCAAATACCGTAAATCGAAAAAAGGTTTACTGTTATTTAGTTTGGTTCAAAACTTACAAAATTTTCATTGCTTTCACTGTAATTTATTTTTTTATTATTTAGGGAGCATTATAAATAGTTATGTTTTTAAAAGAAAAAAACTACTATTGTTATAAATAACACATTCAATTGAACTAAACTATGCATGTCTATTTAAATATATTTACACATGGCTTGTGTATATTGTATATATATATATATATATATACA